CGGGGACTCTCCGACCTGGAACGCATTTGTTCTCCAAGGAAAAGCTTCGGGCGCGCGAGAGAGAAAGCGTACAAGGGAGTTAAAGACCCACGTAGGCTCGAAATTAAAATGAAAAAAAATTATCTCGCTTGTGAAAAAACACGTGCGCGTGCTTATACCTACAATACATCATACAGTGTTGCCCAATACTCTCGCGGGTATGTAACGCGAAGCACGCGTTCTTCATTTATTTCTCTCCGTTTTTAACTTTTTCGTTTGGCCATACTATAATATAAATGTGCACGCGGCCCTCCACGTGAAATCTACTCCTTTGATACCTGAATTGTGTTAGCTATTCATTCTGACGTTCGATATCATATATTAATTTTTTTTTTTTTTTTTTTTTTTTTTATTAGTACGTTTGGCGTATAAATAAATAGTAGGAGCGTAGTGTACAATCAAATATTATTTTTTTGAGTCATTACTATAAATAAAATTGCGTTTGCAATTGAGATGTATACTTTTTTACGTATCTTTTTTTGAGACATTTAAAAATAATCGTGGTGTCATGAGACATTTAAATTTTCTCAGTGCCTTTTAAAATGCTATATATGTGTAAATATATATAGAAAGGGAACCAACTGGTTTCTGGTTGTGTGTTGAAAGTTTTCTCGAACCATTGAGTTACGGACGATAAAAAGACTGTTACGTACGGGTCTTTACCCCGAGCCGAATTCCTCACCGTTTTTCTCTTCTCTCTCTAATGTTACTTTAAAAACAAAATTTGTTTTGACTCATGTCTTCTTACGAAACATTGAATCATGTATATGTCGAAGATTTTATTTTCCATGGTTTTTGAAAATTGAGTCATTCTTTGAAAACTATTAGACCCCTTACTGAGAAATGTAAATTGAAGTGTTACTTGAAAACAAACAACAGCTTTCGAATCGTGTCACGTTTTGCTTACAACTGACAATGAATGTGAAATTTTTGGAAAAATATGGAATACGATGGCCCATTGGATTGCAGCTCGTAATGATGTTAGTGTGTACAAGTATTCGATATCGTATACTTAACGATCATCAACATCATGAATAAAATAAAAGCTTCAAATGGCTAAATTATGTACACGCATATTAAAAACAAAACCCCACATTAATTACTAACTAATTAACTACTTCAAAAATTGGTATGAATATTTATTTTTGGTAGTAGTAGCGATGAAAAAAATAATTTTCAGCAAAAAATATATTTCGAAATGTTCAAGAATCCATGAAATTATTTAAGTGCAAAACAGCTTACCAAAATAAGTTACAGCTATTACTTATATACAATGTCTACTTTGTTGGATAATTTTTTTTTCTTCCTTATATTCACGAAGAGTAATCATTTTTGTTTTTTTTTTGTTTCAAACGTGACAACTATACACTTTGATTCTCGTACACGTCAAATTTTATATAAACACGACGTACATTTTTCAGCCCAAATTTATAGACATCATCCGACAAATTTCACAGCGCGAGTTTTATCGCCGAAAAATTATCATAAATCAAGCGAACCTAAAAGCCTCTTCAGTAAGAATTTTTAAAATTTTTTAAAATTTTTTATTCCTTACGCGTTTGACACATTCACTTGAGTGAGATTTCGCATAATTACACCGACGTAATACGTGTTTTTATCCGACGTTCCATAAAAAAAGACTCTCTTACGCAACGACAAACCAGACAGCAACCCGATACAATTGGCATCAGGAAGGCGTTGTAACGCCCCACCATTGTCAGCTATACACCCGATAGCTGCACGAAAAAAAAAAAAAAAAAAAAAAAAATCAAAGAAAACATCGAAAAAGAAAAGTATCTCTGTATGGAAATCGGCGTATATTACTAAATTTCTACGCGCGTTGGATGCGAGAGTGACCATCACCGCTCGCTGCCGATGCCCGATATAAGTAGTAGTAGTAGGTATATCATAGTAAAAGTAGTAGGTAGTAAAACGTGCTCCGCATGTTGCAAAACATTAAAAAGCCCATTCATTGCCTCCTACGCCAATACAAGACCATCCCGTATATATCTACCTACTTGATCCCCCTCGTAACGCGGGGCTATCGTGGCTTGATGTTTGACAGTACAGAGTGTACATATACATATGGTATGAAAAAAAAAAGAAAAAAAAAGAGGGGCCCACTGTCAGCGTATAGGGCCTCTCTGATGCATGGAACACTCTTTTTCTCATCTATATGTACGTATACATAGGGGCACGGGTATACGTATTTACGTATTCACTGGACCTTTATTCTTTCTTCCGACTTTACTTTTTCCACGTCCTCTTTGTTCGACTGCAACTCGCGTGGCCTTTTCTTCTTCTTCTATACATTTAATTTCTCTCCAAGTCACAATTGACAAGACAAAGTTATAATTTATAACAACATTTAAGTCAATGATTTTTTTTTTTATTTTTTTTTTAACATATTACGCTATTAGGTCCTTGTAGCTATACTTAGTTAAAAATATATTATGAAATAAAAAATTATATGTTGAAGTATAAGTGATGCTTGTGTATGCGTGTACTTTTAAAACAATATAATTTGAAAAAGCTCATTGAGACAAAATAGCTGAGTTGACTTTAGCGTTAAAACACCACTTTCAATCTAATGGTACATTAATATGTTACAAGTACTCGATGGTGGATCGAAAGCAATGAGCGTTTCTTCGAGTATACCGATCGGTCGTGCCTCACATGCGAAAAACGATGTCTTACGATACGTACAATGTACATGTACACGTAGAGCGTGGAAAGTCGACTCTTGAGACACACGTGGCCTCACGGCTATACGCACGTATATTATACCCATGTATAATTATGGAGACACGTGGCGAACGACTTATCCACTCACGCTAAAAATAAAACCATAATTTTTCTTTTTTTTTTTTTTTGTCGATGTCGATGCCTTACTGCTTTTACCCGCAAGCTTTATACTATTTCGTTTGATGCACAGTTTTTTTTTTTTTTT